CGATCGGTGGCACCGTCGCTCGAGTGTGGCACATAAGACGCCAAACTGTCCATGAAGGTGATCCAATTGTTGAGGGAGTAGCGCAAGGAGACGCTCTTTTCGAAGGCCAGGTTCAAGACGCGCACAAAGCCGGACAGGCTGAAGTCGTCTGTCTCCACGCTCTCCAGCAGCACTTTCACCTCCCGCACTTTCTGCTCGAAACCGGGCAGGGTGCCCGGGGTGGTGAACTGCAGCTCCATGAAAACAGACTGAGTGAGGGGTCGGGGGAATTTCGTACTGGCCATGTGATTTAAGTCCGTGGATTTGGGTAACTTGGCCAAAATGCGCTCTGGGACCTCCGGCTCATCCGAATCATCGAAATGCTTCACGGAGATGAGCTCCAGACCCAGGGAATCCGCGAAGCGCACCTTTTTCTGACTTGTTGGACTTCTGCTGCGGGAGATTTCCAACTTGGCCCTCTCCGTGGGAGTGGGAAGGGACTTGCACCTCCGACGCAGGCTGGGACTCTGCGGAGGCTTGAGGAAGGTCTCCCTGCCCCGCGGCCTCTCGTCCACGACGGGGCTCTCGGCGGGCTCGCAGGTGCCGTTCATGATGTCAAAATCGTCCCCATCGTCGAGACGAGGGTTCGCCGCGGCCAAGCTGCCGAAGAGTCCGGCGATACAGCTGTAGTTCCTGGGCAGGCAGGTCTTCGGGGGCAGCATGTCCAAAGTAGGGCGCGCGCGCTCTGCTTCCATACAACGCTGCAGCCCCTGCACTGCAGAGCCGAACACGGTGGTCGTGCGGAGACCAGCGACTGGGGAGACCAAACCGTCAGGTGTCAGTATCCCACTCGCGGATTGGCGCCGTGGCCGCGTCACTTCGACTTCTGAGTCCGGGACCAATTGACGGTGGTGTTGCTGAGCGCTGTTTGCTTCATCAGATCTGCCAGTTTAAATGTATAAAGAGGCGGTGGATAAGAAAACACTTCAGCCTTGATCTATCCTAAATTCAAAGCACGCTTCCACTGAGTAAAGACCGCCCCCTCGCGTGATATTGTTGTGTGTGACGTCACAACCTGCCGTGACTTCACTGTGAAGTGTACGTGCAGATCTGAACGTTGCCTCGACACAAGATGGTTCCCACTTCTAAGATATAATGACATAGGACACGTGCAGCCTGATATGTAGTACTTTTATCGTGAGCACATTAAAAGCTTTCAGCCTTTCGCGTGTGCTACTCTGCCCCTAAGACAATTAACATAAAACTAATGTCATTATGCCGTCTGTGCAAGACAGAGCTGCAGTAGGGGAACCTCCCACCCGCCCATTTTCTTCGCGTCACAGTCTGCAAACGAGGTGTTGCCATGACGACAGCGTGGCTCACCGACAAGCAGTCGCATTTCGCCGCACAGTGGCCTCAAAGTGAAACAACTTGCTCAGGAAAGAAAGACAGTTTGTCATGAGTATAAATTATAAATTTGTACTGTGGCATCGGGAATACAAACCTTTTTGACAACGTAACTTCAACCCACAATGGCTGTGAACAAGTGCAGGCGTTCGGAAGGTTAAGTTACTTTGGCTCTTTATTGTATTTCCTTTCATGTATATTGTTCGCGACGTTGTAAAAATTTGAAATCAACCGAGACTGAAGTTTAGTTCACAATTAGTTAGGAGTAAAATTAGCAATTCTTAAATATGCCGTGTCATGATTCCAAAACAACGCCGTCATTGTTGGTATTAAAAAAAAAAAAAACAAACAAAAAAAAAACATGCAGACTGAAATTACAATGTGCCTTGTTTCCCTTTGAAGCTTTCAGGATATTTACCAATGAGGCCATTTAATCTGATCTTTATAATAAGCAACATATAGCACAGCATGTAATGTCTTCAGTGGCCTAAACACATATACAACCTCATTATGTCATAACTGTTGCAGATGTCTATCCTCGTCCATTTTCCACAAAATATGTCGCGAGGCAGACGTGCTAACCAGCCAACAACTGTGGTGTCCACAATGTCCTCTAAATTTAAAGACGTTTTCATCAGAAGCTAGTGAGTATTCATCGTGAGAAGTTCATGTCACAACATACAGTCTGCACTTGACTCCTTATTTTTTACCCGATTACCCTTGGAAGAAAACTACAGAAAGGTTGTCGATTGGTATTGTTCCTGTGGAATGACTAGTCGATGCAATTTATTATTATTTGTTTTCATCCCATAGTGCAGCATAATGTGAAGTTAGATTTTTGGTGGCTGTTTGCCAATTTACCTTGTACAAAAATGGACCGTCATGAGATCCGAGGAATCTTTATAAGCAAAATGAGAGCTAATGTTTAGTTCCTTGATCTCTTGCGTTAATGAGAAGCTCTCCGTTTCATGTTTTCATGCACTGTGGTGTCCAGGAAAGCAGGACACAGCAATAATCATGAGCTCAATATTGCTGGGAAATCCATGGCAGCTTGAAACACCGTTTAAATGGGTTGACGATATCAACAATAGAACATAATGGTAACGGTATTTGCATTTCTTTTTGGAAAGAGAAATCTTTGTTTTAAAGTTTACGACACTGTACATCTTTAGTGGCTAATCTGGGCAAGCCCTATATATACACAGGACGTAGCCATCCTTTTCGCTGTTTTTTTCAAAACCAGAAAATACAGAGCCATTATTTTCAACAGAGGGTGATTATTTTACAAGAGGACAATAATATGAAGTCAAGATGACAAACAAGTGTAATTTGACCTTTGGTCTCGGGGCAGGAGTGTGAGGAATAAAATAATTTAAAAATATAAAGCTAACTTCAGCTTGTTTTTTTTTTCCCATAAAAAAGGCATAATGGATCAAATAGAAATAGGATATAGCAGGTATGACTGCAGTTTGAATTGAAGTGAATTGGCAAAATGAGGTGATTTTACCAATTTTAACTTCTGTCACATTAAGACAAATGTATGGACCTACCTAGCCACGGGAGATCGATAAGAATCCCAAGGAGTTACAGACCAAGTTATTCAGACACTTGGTAAGTTAATACAATTCAAAGATCTGTGTATATGACAGAAAAAAATATATATTTTTTAATGTACTGAATGTTTCTCCAATGGCAGTACTGGTTTGCTTCATCAGGTTGCGTGATGATACTGTGGTGTGTCTTGTTCAGTTGCTTTACGCCTTCAGAGAAATATAACAGTAGTTGCTAAAAGATGCAAGGAAAGCAAAACCTCTTTCAGACATATACAAGGAAGAGGAACCTTAAAAACAGTCTTATTTTTAGTCACAGTATGAAGCTTGTCACACTTGGTAGGTTAAACATAAAGGTGACAAAGCATCAAATCGTGATGTAGGTAGGCATCGTCAAGTCAGATCAACCTCCTTTTATCATTCCACTTGAAAAAAGGTTCTCGCTGTTGAGTGACCATTCCTGATACACATATAAGGCTGTCAAAAATCACATGTAGCATTTCGGGTCCATCTGCAGGGCCGAGTGCACTGAAGGGTTAAAAGAGACGTCGCTATGGTAGCAGTTAAAGGAGTGGAAAAAGTTCCACAACATGAAACATTCAACAGACGGCCAAGGTGCTCGCCCGGAAGGAAGATTAAAAGCCTCGGAAGAAAAAGAGTCAATAAAAACCATTTGGAGCAAGGTCAGCTTCTTTGAAAGTGCGAAGGCTTAACATTGCTTAGTTAGAATATTGCTTTAAATGGGATAAATGTGGAGTTCATGTATAACACTTGCCCTTGACTGCGTTATCTATCGAGAAGCTGTAATCCGCTTTTCTCAAGTGTTGAGCTCACACCTAAGCTCCTTGTTCTCACACAATCATTCTGAAAGAACTGACATTCCATTCTTTGTCATTGTCATTTTTATAGCTCACCTCTGCCTGCTGTCTAATGTGTCCGCTTACCTCTTCTGCTTCCAACTTTACTCGCGCTCCATCTTTCTCCGATTCAGCCGCTTCTGTGCAACAGCTTTACAATCGTAGAGCAATCAGCTTCTGCCTGGCTTGAACATTTCTCATCAGCTGTGATCACGCCTGTGTTTGAGAATTGGGGAGAAATTATAATTCAAACAAAAAGGAAACATGAACAATGACTGGCGATATTTTGGCCACTTAGAAAAATAGCTCCTTTTAATAATAAGCTCCTTTTACAAACAATCATGGCACCCACGTTCTCATTTAGTTTGGTCACCAGTGGAATGTTCCAAACAGGTGTTTGATGAGCATTCCTCACCTTCCTCAGTCTTGTTTGCCACCTGCCTCAGTAATTTTGGAACGTGTTGAAGCCACAAAATTTTGGACAACCCGTATCTACACAAATGATGTATGGTACTGGTAGAACAATTAAATGCTCTTCTATTTGAATTGTAGATGGTGCAATTATCCTGCGTATCCACCTGTGGCACTTTATACAAACCGGCATGGCAATCAGCTTGGTACGCAATTAAACACGCCCAGATTTTACACTAAGTAAATCAATTTGTGAGTAAAACTGAGACAAGATCATCATCATTATTATCAGTAGCTATACTTTTTGTGATATTTTTAGTTTGGTCGTGTCATTTGCCATGAGAGTGTTCTAATATCAAAAAGGGTGTCTTGGCTCAATAAAGGTTAAAGAACACTGAGTTACACTTCTCCAAACTTCAAGGATTTTAATTGCAGTACTTACACGTGGTGTAAGTACTGCAATTAAAATCGGGCAAATTATATTGCAATTTCTTCTTTTGTGTTCAAAAGTTGAGCACTTACCTGCGTGTGAACGGGAGGAATGCACATTCAAACAACACGATAATAGTGTGACTTATAGTCCTTACAGACATTTATCTAAAACACTTATGGCCTAAATAAATCTCCCTCGCGGTGGAAAACATTTCCAAAGGTTTGGGACTGATTTAACAAACAAGAGCTTATTTGCATATGTTTAAAGGCATTCACAAGTTGTGTCATGCGGCTTTGTCTTCCGGTCACGCCATATTTGGCGACTCGAGCTCGACATACACCCGCACATTTTTTGCCCTGACGTCTCGCGGATTTTACGTAACGTTTAAAAGCACGACTACGTCATCACGGCTGTTGTCACCCACGAACGATTGCCTGTATGTATACGTCCGCTGCATTAACTGCTTCTTCACAACATGTAGTGGATATCCTGAATTACGACTGCAACTGTTTTTTATATAATGTTCAAGGTGTATGTCTCTATGAATGGTAACTGCACAGACTCGGGCGTGCTTATCATCTGATAATGTTCACGTGAGCTGCAAATTAAAAACGTCCTGTGTTTTGTTGTAATCATTAGGTTCACATGAATTTTAATGAATTGACTACTTTGAACCACAGTAGCTACAACTGGAAAAATGACAAATCTACATGAAAGTTTCCTTCACGGGTCATTTCAGAATTGGAGGACAATTCAGGCACCAACATATTTGAAAAAAAATCTATATAGTGTCCTGTTTTGAAGAAAAACTGGTAATAAACCCATCTAATTTGATTCATTCAGCTCAACCATCAACGGCACACTTTTTATGAGATAGTTCTAATCGTTTTAAATACTACAGACAGCACCTGAAAAACGCATTTTAAAATGATTGCTGAATAGATACAATAACTTAAATACTAATTACATTTTAGTATTATTCTAATAGAAGAACAGAAACAGAGCTAGCTGCTATGCTAACTGGTGAGGAACAAGCTTGCATATATAATTTCAAAACAAGGACAAACATGTTTTGCAACAATAATGACTTAAAGGGCACAATTACTACTAATTACGATGTGGATCAAACATTTACATAAAAGACAGAACAAATACCAAACAAAACATAATTTGGTGTTTTTAAAAAAATATTTAGATATCATGTTTACTAAATCTAGCTACTTTATCTCCACGCAGCAGCGACAATTTATACTAACGTACCTGTATTTGTACATGGATTATTTAAAGCTTTATAGGGCTATAGAAAGTGTTCTCCAATTCTAGAATGACCCTCACATAATCCATAATGACTACTTAAACTGAAACGATCATATTGTGCTATGGGCAATTATTTATTGGCAATATATACATATTTTTGATAATGCCAGATGAAGTCAGGATTTAAAGATAGCATGAAATAATTAAAGTTATTACCAGCTTTTTATTTGTATAATATAACTGCTGGGTAAGAGAAAAGCAAGATCACAGATGGGCATTTGATTGGCAGATGCCAACATTTCATTATTTCAAGTTACAATTCAGCTATTTTCCATTCATGTTTGTCTGTCACGTTGACATTTGACGTTTTGTTGAAAATAAGATTTATTTATGTGAAAAATGACCATTGTATTTTTTTTTATCTCACAAAAAAGAATCCCACAGCAATGGACGGATCAGATGAAGAAAATCCTGATCAGGAAGATGCTGTTGAGGAGCAACTGTACAAAGCACAAAGGATTCATGTCGATGTCCTGCTTGAGATGAGTGAGGAGGCCTTTTTAAAAGAAACGGATCCACACGAGTATCATTGCTACTGTGGTTGGGAAGAGGCCGTAAGTGCATTTCTATGATTAAGCGATTGCTACAGAGCACATAGTTTTGATGACGGTCATATCAAAACGTTTTTTTTTTGTTTTGCGGCAGGTGCGGGGCTGGGACAGAGTTGCTCCAGTTAGTTGCATTCTACTTCCTCAAAAGAAAGACAAAAAACCAAAGCCGCGTAAGGACACAACAGACAATCCACCCTCCACGCATGCAGAGACAATTCATGGAGACACGTTAGCCATGAGTGGAGAGCACTGTGGCGAGTCCCAGTCGAGCCCTCATTACTCGAAGAAATCCACACCGTCAAGCCAGAAGACCATAATCGAACCAGAATCCCCAGAATGGCATGCGCTGGATGGCGCAGAGGAAGACTCATCGCATCTACTCCACGAAGAGAGGTCGCATGTCAGCGGGATTCCTTTGCACCTACAACATTTACCCTCAAACATGACAAAGGGCAGGCCACCCAAACCCATGAAGCGCCAAACTAAAAGCAAAGTTGTTCCCATTACCAACTTCACATTTTTACCTCCAATAAAATGATGGGCCAGCCACAGCTCAGCTTTATATGCCATGAAAAAAAAACCAGGAATATTATGAAAATGGTTGCTTTTTTTTTAAGAAACGTGGACTTCCAAATCAAACCAAAGATGAAGTCAGCAACTTTTTTTTTTTTAAACAAGGGTTTCTGAGCTTTCTACTTTCCAAAATGCATGTGATGAAATGTAGTACTTCAGTACTCATGTGCCCTGTCCTGTTGATTACCACCCACGCACATTAAAATATGAAGAGTGATTTGGGATTTTTGTCAAGTTTCATTACTAATCAACATCGAATTGGATGCAGTCTTATCAGAAACTGAGTGCAAAAGTTTATAGTTAATCTTTTTTTTTCTTCAAAATATTCAGCCTGTCTACTGAAAAATTTTAAATGTATTTATATATTTTAACATGACTAGATGAAGAGCACCAAAGACCCCTCAAGTTTACTCGAATGAGAAAATAAGCACACAATAATTAAGGTTCCAGCAGTTTATTAGGAACATCTGTAGTCAATGCGCGACATTTAATCAAGGCAACATATAATGCCGGTTACACGAAACAGAAAGCATTTTGTGCGTTGAAAAGACATGCAATCTAACGAAGGAAATGCTTTGTAATTGAGAAAAAGGCATCTACATGAAGCAAAAGATCAGGACAATTATTCTTCAGATTCTCCAAGAAACACAAACTGAGTACTGAGTAACAGAATGTTGCACTTAAATCTGTCCAGAATGATGAACACAGTACACCTTTGTCAAAATGTTTAGATATGAAGAAAATAGACCGTGTTGTACATCAGCTTCTGCCACCATGTAAATAAGGACGGCATCAAAAACTGTTTTCAGTGAAGCGCAACATTGTATTTTCAAGTGACAAGTCTTTGAACAGAAACTACGAGGAACAGCATGCAACCATAACAAAAAATATAACCATGCAGCTATCATGATCTTATGTTGATCTTTCCAAAGCGTTTATTTACGCTAAATGTAACAGAACAGAAGAATAATCTGTCCATCCATCCATTTTCCGAAACGCTTTATCCTCACAAGGGTTGCGTGACGTGCTGGAGCCTATCCCAGCAGTCTTCGGGCAGTAGGCGGGGGACACCCTGAACCAGTTGCCAACCAATCGCAGGGCACACAGAGACGAACAACCATCCGAGCTCACACTCACACCTGTTTAATACTTTAGGTTAAGGCACCAAAAAGGTCAAATAAATTAAATGTAATCGGTCTCTGTTCCCCACGTAAAGCTTTAGCTGCTTGGTGTGCCTCGGCAATTTGAGGTAACTCAATGGGCAGTAACTCAGTGCAATCCAGAAAAACAAATTCAGCAGGTTTTTAAAGACTAAAAAAAAAAAAAACCTTCAGTAATTCAGGATTAAATGAACGGAATGGATAATTCTCTTAATACAGAACAAGACATGCATTAAATTTGTGCCGAAATAGCAGCTAATGTTAATCAGCTGTGTTTCTGTGCAGTCATCGAATGCGGTCGATCCAAAGTGATGATTTGTCAGCGTGTACATTTCCACCAAACAAAAGTCAAGAGAAAGACAGGCTAGTATGACATTTTCCATAAAAACGACCACACATCCTTTTGATCAAAAGGTGTGCTCCAATTAATGACATTTTTTTTTCTTGTGCAACTGATGTATTTATTTTTTTTTTGTTCTCGAAAGAGGTTCCTGGAGGAGGTTTCAAATCGATATCATAACACTTGTCCAGCTCTGCAATTGTGTGCTAACCTTTTGATTGACTAACCAGCCGTTAAATGCGGAATATGTTAAGATTTACTGCTCATGCACATTTTAAACACATGTAAATACAACTGCACTGTTAACTCTAGAGGTTATTTCATTTGTTGTTGTAGTTTTTTTTTTTAATCCGGTCAATGCTATTAATTCATCTATTTGTATCATCTGCAGACGTAAAACTTTTGTGCTAGGTTTTAATCTGCGGGATCCAGGACAAACACCCAAAAAACATGACACAGGCTAACAGTGAAGTAAGAAATAGCGTTTCAGACAAGACACATTGTTACATGTATGTGCAAATAAATAGCCAACTGTCAGAAGCTGAAACATCCTGCCTATCGAGCGAATAAAGTGCACAGAGCAGTCAGATATTGACCCGGAAACGCTCTTTTGACAAGATGACCATAGCGGAATGATTCAAAGACATTTCCAGACTTCCTCCACCGTCATTGCTGCACCACTGGAACACGTCCTTATTCCAACGATAGCGGCAAACACAGGAAGCGTGTCGCAAAGATCAGGCAGCGTCGTACAGAATAACCTCAACTGTTTGGTTTCTCGGGCTGCTGAAAGAGAGCGCAGAGCTCCTGGCACGTCTGCGTTTCCACCGAGCTGAAATGGGAATCCATGTTCCACAGCATGTCGGCCGACAAGAAGTCGTCCACGACTGTTTGCGTTTCGATGCTTGTGAGGAAGAGGTGTCCGAAGCCTTCCGCCTGGCTGGTCTGCGTCTCCGTGCTGTTCGAATGCCTCTCCTGCTCCCCCTGACCGACAAGTGATTGAACAGGGAGGCAGGGAGCAAATGAATGCAGGTCAGTCTGCGTTTCTGTGTCGGAGGACTCTGTGCTCATTGAAAAGCTTGGATGGCGCAGAATGCTACTCAGTGGCATGTTGCTTCCGGCGCTCAGAAGGAAGTTGAGGTCAGTCTGAGTCTGAGTATCGAAAAGCTCCAAGTCACTGGCTTGGCTTCGACTTGGTCCATCGCTTTCGTCCAGTTCATCCATCAGGAAGAAATCGGTCTGGGTTTGGATGTCTAAGGACTCCAAGGGCGTGTCACTGTTCAGGCCCCCCAGATCGCTTTCCTCTGTCTGTGTCTGAATGTGTACGGAGCTGAGAAACTCTTCAAAGTCAAAGTCAATGGCGCCGTGGTGCTCCTGAACAGGACCCAGGTTCGACCCGCAGCCGGCTGCGGAGGCGGTGGTGGTCAGCACCTGATGGCCTGACATGCTGTCAGAGAGAATGTGTTCCAGGTCATGTAACAAGGTCATGGTTTGGGTTTGGTTGTCTGCCACGTTGTTGGAGGTCAGCAAATCCGTCTGAGCCCCGAAACACAGGCCTTCGGCTACCTTTGCGGCCTCATATAAGCTGCTTCCTGTGGCTGCCAGATTCTCATCTACGTTCAGCGCTGTCTGGGTGGAAACACTGAGTGCATCGCTGCTGAAAAGGTCAGGGCACATGAGGACCTGATCCTGAGCCTTGTCATTGGATTGCGGAATGGTGAAGCAGGTCTGCGTCTGCCTAGTTTTGCTTAATGCCGCGGTTGAGGAAAAGGAGGGGCAAATACTTTGGTTCGAGGATTGGCTGTCAGTCTGAGCGCCGATAGAGGAGGTGGGTCGAACCCGGCTGTTGAACGTCTGGGTTTGAACACTGACTGGCAGGAGGACCTGGGCACTCACACTGATGTCAGTCTGGGAGCAGGATGACATCGAGGACTCCCCCATAGAACACAATCCGATCCCCTCCACTACCCCCATAGGTAGTTTGGATAAGTAGGACTTGTCGGTCTGAATGTTGGTCGAGGTGCTCCTCCCTCGTTGTGCTCTCAGGATGCTGCCTGAGTCATGTGTAACCAGACTGTCGAGTCCAACCTGCACCCCTGTGCTGATGGGCCCCAGGCAAGAGCGAGAAGTAGGCATGCTATCCTGGAACCCGAAGCTCTTAGCATCCAGTTGGGGTACCACAGCTCCGGAGGCCTGTGGCAGAAGGTGAAGGGTGCTAACGGAGCCTTGGCTGTTGACCGCCAGCACCACGGACCTAAGTGTGCCGCTTTCTGTAGATGGAAGGAGGACAGGGAGGTGGGCCAGCTGCATTACAGGCACACTGACCAATGCCATGTTGGGTTTAGGTAGAAGCTGCTTCTGGAGACTCTTGTGGCCACCAGACGGCTGACTGGCAGAGTCTGGACTTTGGATGACGTCAGAAGATGAAGAATCCTCGATTAGCTCGTGAGTAGAAGGAATAATCACAGAGTCGGTGATCTTAACCTTTTCAGAACTGGTGGAGAGTTTCTCCATTTTTCGCTTTTTTACGGGTGGAATTCTGAAATCAAAACAGACACATAAATCAGGAAAAACAGCGGAGCTTCTCTCATATGAAAAACGACAGTTACTTTGGCAGAATACCTGTGCTCCGTAGGAATCTCGTGTCCTGTCCTGAAGATGTGCGACAAAAGTGCAGCTCGGCTGGCATACGGGCAGCCACACGTACACTGGTAAGTCTTTCCGCAGTCCTCTGCGTGTCTCTTGAGGTCCCACTCGGTGCTGTAGCCATTGTTGCATTTGGAGCACTTGTGTTTCTTCTCTGCGTGCACCTTCATAAAGTGCTGGGAAAATATGAACAGATATGTTTACAACACAACTGACATGACAAAACCAAGATTGCATTTTGCAGCTGTGGCTGAATACTACACTGCTCCTTTTAGGTTCTGGGTGCAGAGGCATCTTTGTATGTAAATGTAGTCTCTGATAATGCTTTCGGTTGTCGCAAAAGGCGCCATTCTAGATGAGCTCGTCGGTGCTACGTGAATGTTTGGAGCAAAGTAAGTGCTGTCTCTACTGTAGAGTATTACAGCGTCATGCATGGACATTTTTTTTCTCTCTTTCGGAGTACAGGAGATCTGCACACTCCCCTCTTGGTTAATGTTATTGAAGAGATAAAACACAACCTGACGAGTCTTGGATATTTGGGCCCAGTGTAGGCATGAGAATTTATTGATGGAATAATTTCAGGAGGATTTGACTCACACATGATATATTTGTGTGGGAGGTTTCTTTGTACTGGATCTGTGTAAGCTATCTATTTTCTTGGCATGTCCACTACATTTGAATGAAACGCAGCACTTTTGGTGTTTCGATCAAGTGAAAATATGCTTTCATGGGCAGCTGTAGACTTTGTGAGGTCTTACTTGTTTCACCAGGGAAAATTGGGAGAAGGGTCTTCCGGGCCCCCTGGGACAGCCTTCAATGGGACAGCAGTAAAGCTTTTTTGATGCCTTCATGTCCTTTCTCACGGTGGGGTTGACGATACCATCCTGGGGGGAGACAGAGGACACACAACACAAGCATTTTTACTTCTCTGACAAGGATAGCGATACCCTCTGAAGCTTGACCTGAGACTATTTACCGCTTGAAAGACATTGTACGACCAAGCGTATCAAGCTTGCAAACTAACCGATGACAGCAGTTTGTCCCCTCTTTACTGAAAGGCAATAATATCATGATTAATAATCAAAATTGGGCTCCTCATTGCAGAAGAAAAAAAACTCTTGCGCATTGACAACTATTGAGGCTTCACAACACTGGTCACGCCGCAGCCGGAATGTGGTCAAGGTCACCTTCATCTGAGGGAGCAGAAGAGAAGCTAAAGCTGATAAACACACCCTTCGCTTTATCACAAGGAGTGAGCAACATCTGAGATATATAACGACTGCTTTAGCAGCCGCTTTGAACAGAATCCGATGCGTGGAGGCAGAAGCCAGAGTGGTGTTGAAGAAGGGTTCATTACAGACGATGAGATACATTGATGTTGCGCAATGATCTCGAGAGGCAAAGGCCGCATGAAAGAAAACACATCATTCTCTCTGTTGAACCTCATCAATAATGCGCACAACACATACAGAGTGAGTCATTCCAGCATCTAAAAGCGCTCTGTCACGTCGACCAGAGAACAATTACTGCATCTGACAAAAGTGCCACTTCAGTGCATTAGAAACAACACACTCAATCCCCGTTCAGCATTCTGATGGGGCTTTTTGGTCCTTATTATCGGGCATTCTTTCCAGGTACAAATTGGATCGTTGTGCTCATGGAACTGTGTGGTATTCAATGTGACTTGAATTTCTTTGGGATTGGGCGAAGGGGGACGGGGGGATCGCCTTAATTCACATGACAGAAAGAGTATAGACCAAGAATGCCATTCAATCGAGCCAGAATCTTCACCAAAGCTGAACAAACCAAATTTGAATCAGCATCGAATGGTAAACTTTAATCAAAACCTACCTCTCGTGCCTGAATTCAGTCATTAAAAACTGCAGTACTTAAGGATACCCAAATTCCAAAGAGATGGTTACTACACCAAGCACCACCTCAAAAAAAATGTGGCTCTCAACGTACCACCACAATGGCCAACGTTAAAATACAGTAGCACACTGGGTCCAACAGTTCATCAAAAACAAGGTTCTTGTCCTAAACAGTTTATCCAGTGTTGTAAGCCACTGTAATATTATACTCAAATTGAAAGTTAACACTGCACCTGAAGAGAGATTTTTGGGGGATATTTTGTCCATACATTATGAACTGAGAATGTTGTGCAAACTGAAGTTACATCAAAAATATCTGGTATGTTCAATAAATGCTAAACCAAGTTCCGTTTTCTGCAAAATAGATAATACAAGCACTTCTTTCAGGCAAGGATACCGTCAATGGCCGGACCCTAGGCTGTCAACCATCATGTCAGGAATCTGCTGTTATGATCGTTCTCGCAGCACACACAGGAAGTTGGCTAACCTGTTTTCCGGGTTTGGTGACGTGACATTTCACATATAGTAGATACGGTACATATTTAAAAGCAACACTTTCTTAGTATCCATCCATTATCTGAACTGCTTCATCCTCACCAGGGTCGCGGGCGTGCTGGAGCCTATCCCAGTTATCTTCGAGCAGTAGACAGGGTACACCCTAAACTGGTAGCCAGCCAATCGCAGGACACACATACAACAACCATTCACACTCACACTCACACCAAGGGACAATTTTAGAGTGTTCAATCAGCTTGCTATGCATACTTTCGGATGTGCGAGGAAAACCGTAGTACCCGGAGAAAACCCACACAGGCACGGGGAAAAAAAATGCAAACTCAACAGAAGAAGGCCAGAGCCCGTTTTCAAACCCTTGACCTCTGTACTATGAGGTAGACGTGCTAACCAGTCAAGACACCCAGCCGCCATTGCTCTATAATAATAATTAAATGCAAATTGTTTGTACTTTAAAGTTAAATACAACCGAACAATTACAAGTACTGTAATAGTTTAAACAAATGAAGCCACAATCTCATGACGCACAGGTTGAACATTTAATTCAGTGATTCTTTTGCATTAAGAATTTTTATTTATTTTTACAGAAGGCCAGCTAATCAGAAACTATTGTCATGGCAGTAGTTTCTCTCTAGAACACATTATTTCAATTAGAAAAAAAAATAAACATCAAAAGTTACCACAGTATGGTTTTGGTTCTAAGGATGTACAGCAACTATTAAAGGTTTCTTTCTCACCCAACTCTTGAAAATAGTTTAGAAATAGTGTGCTTTTCACATGATCCTGATCATATCTTAACTGTTGCTCGCAGCACTTCTCGAGTTCAGCGATGGCATTCTCTGAAGACATGCCACTTAATTTGAGTTGAAGCAAACCAACGGAACGAAATTTGCCCCCAAAAATGGAAAGCGGGCCTGTTCTAAGAGCTTATTAGTGATGAGACATTGTTATTTCCCAGTAATACTGCGGAAGTGATTATTTCAAAGTGTAAACACTGATATAGATATATATGTAAAGATAGATATAGATATATGTATGTATAAACACCTGTTTCCTGTTAAATCATTGTTGATAAACATCGTTTGAAATCATCAACATTATCAGTGTCTTCACTCAACTGTATTTATAAAGCACTTTCAAAACAACCACAGCTGCATACAAAGTGATGTGCATAAAATAAAGACATCAAAACAAAGATAACTGAAACGATAACTTCATAACAAAAACTGCAAACACAATAAAACGCTAAAACATTGCGGAGTCAAAAGCCAAAGATTAGAAATGTTTTTCAATGAATATTCAAACACATTAATTATTAAAAATAACACAATTAAAGGCCATTTGGGCAATCGTGTTGTTTCAAAAATGTGGATCAAACCAGTAGCCTTTCAAATTAAATTAGTCCCCAAGAAATAGTGCTCGGTTTAAAAAGATTATTGAACCCTATGGGTCACAATTACCGAACGGGAAAATCATTACATCTCAGTGTCACAACATAAAAATATTGATTTGAAGTACAATAGAAATATTTGAAGACTATAACCTTAATGCTTCCTTGATTTTGATAAGGGCCTAACTAACAACACCCATTCCTATCGAGTCAGTTTAAACAAAGAGCTTTGGCCTGTTGCAGAACAACAGGCATCGTTCGCACGCACAAATCTCATTCATGGTGGACTGTGAATGACGACCTCCTACGAATGAGCCTCTAAGCGTGGGTCGCCACATTCACTGGCTCCACATTGGTTAACAATGAATAACGCATTTGAGTGATGAAGAATGGACTCAAGAAATCAACAAGGGAGGGAGACAAGGCACGGACCAAGCCCACGTGAACCACATCATCACTCGGTGAGAGAAAGCAATATAAGCACCAGTGAACATGAGTTTTGCGACTTCCCTCACGTAAGGCATGCCCGAACTTCTTGCTAAGGTTCACAGAAAGGCAGCACGTCATCGCTTAAGCATCACTACATTACAGCTATACGGCGAAGTTCGGAGGGATGACTTGCGTTTTTGATTGCAACGTTTTCAGGATTCCAAGCTAAGTTAGCTTGGTTCATAGGTTCCCCCTGAGAACGTTCCGGTGGTTTCTAAGCCATTTTACCTTCACTCTGTGCGACTTTACAAGATGCATGTTCAATGCAGGTGTGTTGGGAAGGATCTTGCCACATCCTTCAACGGTGCACAGGATGTTGGTCCTCACTTCTTTGGTCAGCTCCAGTATGGAAGGTTTTATTATCTCTCGAGACTGCGACACGAGCTCCTCATGACAACCCGGGTTGTCTTTGGCGTTGCTATCCCCGTTCCTTGCCTTGTGGCTCGCCGAAAAGGCAGCCATGTTTCTGTGTTGACAGTAACTCCCGAGTCAACGTTACGATTGAATGGGCCGTGACATGACGTCCCTGAGATTTGACTGACAGCCTGCTTGACCAATGAAGGGACGAGAACGGGACGCACGATGCAGCAATTTTATGGCTACTACCGGAAAACGCACCGGATAGTAGATTTTCACAATAACAGCATACCAGGAGAAAGGTAGAAGTACTCAAGCCATTGAATTAAAGTACTGTAGGTACTTAAAAAAGACTGATATCAGCACAAGTACTGAATAAAGTAAAAATAAGTAAATAAAATAAATACATACAGACTCAGCAGGGGCCACCAACCTTTTTGAAAGTGAGAGCTACTTCAAGTGCTGCAATTCTCTCTTAAAAGTACCAAAGCACACCAAAATAAGTCATACAATATAACATTTTGAGTTACAGTGCAAAGAGAGTGGATTAGTTTCGATGTTTATTGAGTTCAATCTATGCATCATACTGTAATTTGAACAACAAACAAAATAAAACCGCTATTTACATTGACTATATAAAATAAACGATGTAAAAAAACATCACGGTGAAAGACTTTTTTTAAAAAAGCCAATTTCAGTGAATGCGGATTAGTTAACAATCACAAAAATGTCAATTAAACAGTTGGATTGATTTGTGAGGAAGGTCCTGAGACTTTGTCTGTGATGACGAAATAATTTCTTCCTCTTCGTGGGATGGATGAAAGCAGAGGTGTTATAGGAGTGGAAGCAATTCCTGTAAAGTATATAAGCACATAATATGCATTACTAAATATCAAACTACGCTGCAACAACTAAAATCTAACCAACATTAAATATCTCAAATCAAGGGAAACTATTGGGATTCTTTATCTGCCAAGACATTTTACTTATCATGCAGTTTTTCTCTTCAAGGCTTGGTAGAGTTCTCATTTCAATATTTTTCTCCGTTTATAAAAGCCCAATTTTTGCAGTCCTACAGATCTCACCTGTAACAGTAACATTAAGCTCCTTGTGACTTTGATATAATTACAATAATTGACTTCACCATCGTATGCATTTTTGGGTCTGTTGGTTAAATTCGGGGACAAACATCTAATAAATGAATGAGATACTGCAATCTGGTAAATTTGAAAAACTATCAAATTCCAGACGTTCCCCGCCAGAACCTTTAATGCTTAGTTTGTACATGCGCGCCCTCTTGTGGATCAACTAAAACAATGATTTATTTATTTATTTATTTTTTAATACAGTCTTAACTGGTTCAATACAAAAATAAATGTCAATGTCTGTTGCATTAATATACTGTAATGTGTTATATCATAATTTTGTAAATAAGAACATTGTTTCGGTCATATTCAATGACAATCTTGTGCACGTTGACTCAATGACAAAATGAGACCATGATAAATCAATACAAAAAATATCATTAAAGTGACCTAAACCCTTCTGAAAGTCTTGGTATTTTTTTTTTATTTTAGAAAGTCTGAAATGTATACAGGCACCTTGAATGATGGCACGTGTGAGCAGACTTCCTTTTAACATGCGTTAGAATTTGACTGGTCAATCAATGTGGAACCTAAAGCAGCCACACCACCAGTTAGAAGGAGTTTGTCTTAGTTGTATTTTTTACTCCCCCGCTCGAAAAGATTTTTTATTTCTTTCCAATGGAATTGTACAGATTGTAAATCACATCAACAGTAGAAAAAGTTGGGTCTCATTCCGTTACATCACAAAACCCTAGCATTTAAAAGGGCTGTGTAGACTTGTTATATCTCCTGTAAATGTATTCCTACATATTTCTATATGTGGCCAACAAAGTGCTGTTACCTGAAGAAGCGCAGTGCCGTAATGACTCCAACAAATTCTTGCTTGTAAACGTGACGACACAATTGAATGGTTTCTCTCGTTCTGTAAAGGTCTGGTTTGATGGGTCTTTGAACTTGGTCTCCAGCTGCCGACAAATCAATACATCACAATTAATGTTCCCTGAAGGATATGTGCGATAGAAATGAGTGCACTAAAGGCGTGACTACACAAACTTAGTGATTAACAGTGGATGTGTGACATTTCGGAGAATGGTCAAAGTCTGGAATCATTTCACACTGCAAAAAAGAAGTGCAATGTGCGTTTTGTGAGGCACAAATGTCTGAAGTTACACACCTGCACAATAAAGTATCATTCGCTCAAAATCGCCTACCACGACTAGTTAGAACGAATTGCAATCCCTCCGCACATCGGGCAGTGATAGCCGCCGGAGTTTTCAATCGGTGTATTGAACAAATATAACACAAGAACATATTCGCACACACAGTCATTTTTCACAACTGACGCCGAGTCAGTCAATGGCAAACGGTGATCCAGTTAACAGACAGCCAACTGACACCGAGTCCCGCATCACTGAACACACCAGGCTCGGGCTTTTAAAGTCACGCAGTCAGTCACAATCACAGATACATTCATGTAGAATGTGAGAATTGCAGCACCAAGTGGACAAAAATAATACCTACACCTAATATGCATGCAGTATTGGCATTATGAATAAAGCTTTGAAATACATATAAACAATAAAAAACAGAAGGTTTCCACTTTGCAAATTTCATCTGTCGCCGGGGTGATCTAAAATAGGGGATGACTGTACAGTATTTCAAAATATAAGCACAATTTAGGTAACCTTGTAAACTACAGACTGTAGCTGGGGTAACTTGCCACCACCAAACGCTTCACAAGCCATCTGAAGGCGGTTTACTTCAGCCTCAGCTTGTTCTCGCTCTATGTTGGGGACTGTGGAAGGAAAGATAGTACACCGTGATTACGAATTTAATGAAAAAAATCCCCCACATAATAAACATCGTTATGATGTGAGAAAATGGTGAAGATCACATGATTGTACATACGTGCGGCTATTTGATTCCTTTCTACAAGAGCGCTGGGATACTTCGCAGGGAACACCTGCACAACAAATCATAGTATTTGAAATTACATTTGAGTAAAGCACAGTACATACGTTTATTTTCTTACTTGATGCCTATCAGCAAAGTTCAAGGGTGACAAATGGATGACGGTGCTTTTTAGTGTTTGCACTCAATAATGGACTTACAGTACCTGTTCATACTCCTGCATCAGCAGGTCCCGAATTGCTGAGAAATTTCGTCCACTGAGGTGAGCATCCTTAATAGCCTGATGTCGGGTGGCTATAATCATTGCCTGAAAGTTAAAGTTGTATTTTTAGACAAAAGCAGGTCACAGTAGCCATACAATGTCATTTATGCTCCTTATCCTCACCTGGGACAACAGTGTCTTTTGCTTGGACGTCAGTCTGGTCACAAACACATAAGGAGTTTGAAGATAGTGAACAACATAGGTTGGTCTCATGTTGTTTGGCCGAGAGCAGCTGTCCCCCCATGCAATGCGGATCCAAACCGCCTCATCTGTATTCTTCTTCATCTTGACAGACACCTTGGACGTCAAACATAAAAATTACGTGAAACACTGAAAATATTTGGTGCATTGGGACTTCAGAAAACCAAAATCTATCAACCGTATCATGTGTACGACTTACATTTCTTACGAGCTCATTGAGGTGAGATTTGAATTGTTCCTTGAACTGCATCAACTCAACAGCGGGAGCATCAGCTTGACAGAGTGAAAAGACAGATGACAAAATATGGATCAGCACCAAAACAAATTGTATGTATCATGTTGTATGACTTCATCTGTCCTGTTTACAGTCAAGTCAAATGAGCGTCATTTAAATATCTTGGATGGATGGTGCTCACATTACTTTGGAAGGTTATTACAGATGTGTGACGGGGTAGATGCTTGCTGACAGGTTTTCAATTTTGTTCGCCCGTCTATGTATTTTGTTTGTTCGCATTTAGATGAAATGGCTTTGTCATTTCAAATATAAACTATTTCACAAGTATCTTTGTTGTATGTTTAGTTTGACAGTAAACTTCAACTGGGAGTGGCAATACACAGCTTGAAAGGTGAGTGTTACGAACGATGGCTTGTAACTCAAAAAAAATTGGGGTCAAAAAGTCAAGTCATTTGTCTGAATTGTATCTCATGGCACCACTCGCAATAAAATCAGGTGACAGATGAATCTCTCAAGCCATAATATTTATTTCAAATTGGGGTTCTATTGAGTCTGACTTTTGATTGTGGCTCTACACGAGATTAATTCAAGGTGAGCGTACTCAGACTTTCAGTTCTGGAACTGAATAAAAGTTTTTGAGCTCAGGGGAAGTCATCTCGGAGCTCAGATTTTGATTAAGAGCAAGTTGAACCTGCTTGTTGGAATGCCATATGTAATTGAATTATATACCTCGAAAACCTAATCTTTATTATCAGACAAAGCTCTTACATTCAGGGTCCACGAGTTGGAATGCATGCCACATCCCCTGGTTTGGATTGTCAATTACATCTGAAAGATGAATAAAACAGAACATTGAGGGCACTGAAATTAAGAGCGATGAACGTGAATGTAAAAATGACTTACATATCATCTCTAACTCTGTTATATGACGAAGGGTCAATCTGTTTTCCTGCAAGAGAGGGAACAAAGTTGCATAACGTGACCCACAACACGTTATAATTAGCTGCTGTAGGTTTAACTGTCCATTCATTTTCCCACAAGAAAATAAAATGAAACTGTTATGGGAACAGGAACAAAATGAGCTTAATAACAGCAGGAATGGGCAGAGGATGGTGACATACGGCCAGCTCTGTTCTATAATCAGACCCAACAAACCCTTGTATTATAAATACTGTAGCCCTGTTATTCTTATTATTGAACCTTAATTAATTGAGCCATTTCCCTCCAAATTGGTTAATTATTTTAAGTAATGAATTAATTATTCATATGTGTCAAATAACTATTACTTTATTGCAAGTCAACATTGTATTGAATAAATACAGGATGAAAAGTTCCAGGACAAACCTAAATCTTTTGTGACACCAGATCTGTAACTTTTGACACATCTAACATTCATTTGTGTACATCATTGGTACATAAATTATAACAAAGTGAGATTTGTAATCAGACCGAGGCTTTTAAAATCATTTTAAATAAAAACAATTAAAAAAAACCCAACAACAACAATATGCATTTTACAGCAGCGTGTACCTCACTATAGGCGATCAGTTCGTCCGCCAACGCCCATTTCGTTTGAGTAAAATCGATGTTTTGCTGCTGAGCCACCGTCAAACGGCCCCACTTCTCCAGCGTCACTTTCAGAAACCGAATCGGTATCCGTCGAACAAGCTGACGCAACAACGACTTCATCTGGTCCTCCATTAGTGATTAAAGAGTTTTCGCCTGATGAAGAAATAAAAAACAGAATCCGATGTAAATGTAGACTCACGCTGGTTCAGCTAACTAGTCAAGTCTTAAAACAAACCACCCGCCTTGGTGAAACAAACAAACTGACCAATCGACTCACTGCAAACATGGTTAAGACGATTGATATAGCGCCCCCTCTCGAACTGGAGTAGTTCAGGAAAAAGCATAGTGGTGGTTTTCCTCCAATTCAACAATTTAAAATGTACACGATCGCGCCCTACGCTCACCCATAATGTAAACATGTTTCTAGTTAATCATATATAAAAACAATTGTTGTAAATTGGTTAAGAGTCAAGGAACATTAACTAGATCCTGGTGTATGCGTTTAACGTTGATTTATTTAAATTCGGTGCTTGAAGGTACATTGCGCGTGACAAGAGTGATTGTTGAAGAAGGAAGAAGGCAGAGGTGGGAGTGAAGTAACTTTTCGAGAGCCACTGTCTTGACGGACGTAGTTTACAACCGTCAGTGACGTGTTGAGCGGTCTCAATAAACCTCGTAGACGCAACATAATCTCAATTTGTCTTTCTCGGCGTCGGTGCCATTTTTTTCGGAATCTAAGATGTATTGTGAAGAATGCTCTTGCAACGCCTGCGAAGCTTTGTAACTGAAGGCCCCACCTTTATGAAAAAAAAAGCCAACAACAACGAACTCCATTGGTCAATAGATGAAGACGTGCTCACCGATTGGTTGTTACCAATTGTCATTCAACCGTTCGTCCTCCAGTTACGCAAACCAGTGTCATGTCTCCTCGCTGTTTGACGATTTACTTCCAAGTTTATACAGCATTAAGGGTGATCGCAAGGTAATGTGTTGATTTGTCGTCGCCCGTGGTGCTAGTGAAAAAGAAAAAGACAAAAAGACTATACAAGCGATACGTTTGGCAAATTTTATGATGTTATGCTCCGCTGGCTAGTTTGTAGCTTAACCAAACATTTGCACGACTTGTAAACTGACTGTCTACCGCTAGTAAGAGTTAATTGGTCTAGAACTCTAGGTTCTTATTATCCTTTGGTGTGAGTCGGGATGAATCGAAACCGATTTTATCTTGTACTCTTGACTGTGTGTGCAGGTAAGTGTCTACTACAGGATCCAGCATCTCAATGACATCACAGGAGGGAGAGGGATGGGGAGGCATTAGTATCCTTCATGTCACATTAGGCAGGGTATTTGATATTTATGGCCATATTTGACGAAGTTACCATCGTAATTGCTTTTAATAATCAAATAATTCAATTGAGTGTGCGTGTTGTTTGTGGCTTTTCTGTACAGTATTTACACAGTACGACCTTAATTCAGCATGCACTCTGACCTGTCGCCCCACCTGCACACAGATGAGTGTAATGAGCTCATAAAGCGTCTGCAGCAGTGCCACTCTGAGGTACGTCAGAAACTCCCCCCTTACTGTTCCTTATAACACATCTAGAAACTAATTTTGTCTGCCCCCAGCATAACGTCCTGAAGTTCTTCGGGACGTGTAACGACGTTGACCGCGCCATGCGCCACTGCCTTAAGAATGAGGTGAAGGTCACATTTGCGTGTGTAAAATGAGGATTTTGGCATGGCCTACTCACCGCTTTATTACATTGTTGTCATTTGACAGAGACTGGAAAGGCGGGAGCGCAGCAAACAGCATGCACAAGCCATGAAAAAGAGGTTGAAAGACGGACCCAAGGAGCAGCTTTGAAAGACATTTATACTCCAAAACTTATGTCCAGTTGAGATACCGAACTAAGCCTGCATTGCTGTGTTGCAGCATATACAGTGGATAGAAATCATCGACCTACCTCTGGTCAAATGCCAAGTTTTTGTGATATATGAAAATGAGACCAGGAAAAATCATTTTGAAACATTTTCCACCCTTAATGTGGTCTATAAACTGGAGAACTCGAAATCTTTTGAAAATAAAAATAAACCACTGACATATTTTGGTGGAACAACTGTGCATACTCTTATAATTGGGGTGCTTATGCGCAGACTGGAGTATAAAAGGAATTGGTTAATTCTGAAAACAGCCGTCGCCCAGTTAAAAGGAGGTTTATCGTTTAATTAATTACCTTGTTCTCTATTACAAAAACCTGGCATTTAATTAGGGGATCATAGACTTCATATATGCAATGAGGATGCTGGAATCATGATGACTTTGATGCAGAGGTTGGGATGTGACTTACCGTTTGCCAGTGTACACCAAGCAGTGACAAATCCCATGATTATGGACAGCTTACTCCCACACGAAAAGACCGTCATCAAATTTTTTGTCATCTGTACGTCTTGAAACGTGTCAGCCTCATTGAAAGGAACTTTGTGACGCTTACGGTGAATGATTGGATGTTGGATGACAACGCAGAGTAGAATGGCAGTACACCCTGATGAATGCCTTCGTCATGGAAACATCACATAACGAAAGCAATCTTAGTACACAACACATTTCTGAAACTGTTTTTTATAATATTCGTAGGTTTTGCCAAAGATCCCAACTGTAGGTTTGAAAATACAGTCCTGCTTACTCCACTGAGTATGACAGAAATCGAAAAGGGTATCGGACCATATGCTGGAAAAAGTGGCAATTACACTCTCCCTGCACTGATTTAAGAAAGTAACAGTTTATCAAAGAAATATTCCTTATACATACATAAAAGTGATTGGCTCATTCAGAGGCAATATGTGTGCAAATTTAGATACTGCCCAACAATATCAGGTGAACGGAAACAATCAATGCAATCTTTATAAAAATGAATTACCAAAGCAAATTCTGCCACAAGACGTGATTTTAAATAATCTCTTTTGGGGATTCACCAGGAAGAGATAACTGACCATGACCAGGAAGAGATAACTGACCATGAGGCGCTCTACAGCTGCAGACTATCTAAAGGGATTATGCATTTTTAGGGTGTAGGCTTTACTTGTTAGCTAGCTAACTGTATGTTGCACTAGGAAACCGATAATGCAAACAAATGGCTCAATATAGCAATGGAGAGCGAGGCCTCATGCCAGAGTTGGATTGCATCACTCGGCACCATTACTACTGTACAGGTATCCAAAAAAAAAAAAAAAAAGACTGGAAAACTGAAATGCAGTTGAGGACTATCTCCACAAATGAGCCTTGGCACATGCTTCAAGAAATTATCTTCAAATACATAAAATGTATTTAGAAACATCTCTGAATTCCCTTTGCAGGGTTTTACAAATGTCTGGGAACATTTTCATTCAGATCATTTCATTCTCTGGACAATGAATCAATCCCAATGAGACTGTTCTGGTTGTGAAACGTCCTAAATGTCAAGAACATCCCAACTAGCAGGACAAACATCAAGTGCATTTCAAAATGGAGAAAGGTAAGAAAAATAAGGCACTAATCATGCATTTACCGTATCTTTATTTCATGGAAGTACGCTTTTATTTATTTTTTGGGAGTGGGGCATGTCTTCATATCATTCATCTGCAATGGCCTTATATAAATTTGCTCAAAACCTCAATAAAACAACATGAAATATTTGACATGCCTTGACAAATTCACAAATGATTGTTCTTCTCCGGTAAACATGACATTATTATAAGTGCAGTAGCATTTGCTCTCAGAAATTATAGTCAGCTCTAAAATGAATAATATCCTGTCTACTAAGTCATCTAGGCAATTTTCAAACACCTTCTGTTTAATATATTTCATTTGAAAGAATAAATGGTTACTTCAATTCTGGGTGACTCACAAGCAAAGCACACCTTGAATAAATACAAAAATAAACATCCATACATACAACCAACACCTTGAAAATGCTACTTACAATGCAGGTATAAAATATACCCAGAAAAAACAGGCCACACTTTCAAAGTATTTACAGTATCTCACATGCAACACGTTACGGCAGTCTACATGTTCGAGAACTATAGTACTGCGTTATAGTTCTTGTTTCACAAAATAGTTTCCTCACATATTTTTGGTAAAACAAAATAAATCCTAAATATGACAAACATCAAAATAGAACTTCTCTTCAGTCATCACGTGCCGGTATGCAAATTTATGACAGCGACACTGATCGCTGACCATTAGTCGAAGCGTAATTTGATCACTTGACAATCAATTTTAAGAAAAAAAAAAGACCAGACTGTCAATAAATATGACGATCGTACTTACGTCATCCGTTTCATTCCTCCATTTAAACCTGGAAGCCAAATCATGTGCACGTGTTTCCTTCCCAGAAAGAAAAGGAATCGGGCGCAAATCTTACACTTTAAGTTGTGTATTAATTATAACTCTCATTTAATTTAAAGACACTCTTCATCGACACAGGCATTCACTAGACTTCCAGTGTTTTCGACGTCCATCCCATGGACAGAACAAGAATCAAAAACAAAAGAGAAAGAACACTAATGCTGAGCATGGAAATTGTAGAGCAGGTAATTTCAATACCGACAGCAAGAATTGTTCAAAACGTGATCCAAGCATGAAATTTGGTCCATGTATTTTTCAAATCGCACCATTTTCAAAAACACCGCAAGACATGCAAAATTCCAAGATTAGCAGCCCCATACGTCATGGTGTCAGCCCCAAAATGTGATGTTTCATTGATACGTTTTATTTTCTTATATTTTCACAAGCTGAATCATATAAGGACCAAATGTCATGCTTTTAACACAATTCGAAGGGTCCTTTCACTTAGCCACTCCACCATAACTGAACAGTGATAGTTAAGTGAGTGAAGTATTAAGCTGGCGCATTGTTCTTTTGAGTCAACAGTGCCAATTTCACACAAACCCTGCAATTGATAACTATCAATTAATGGATTATTTTGCCCACAAAAACTCATGTTTAGTGTCGATCACAGGTGTCAAACTCAATTTCCGGGGGCCAGATCTGGCCTGCCACATCATCTTATGTACTGTAGTCCACAAAAACAAAGTATATGCATCGATTTCATAGTTCTCATTAAAATACAAAAAATTGCAAACTGTCTTCACTTTTAAAAATTTTGAGAACCATTTTTTGTGAGCAATCCCCCTTTTAAAATAAACACAATAATATTTGAACAGCTTTTACTGGCCTCTGATTTCAAAACTACTTATTCATCAATTTGTTGTGCATATGTCACATGAGGCAATCATACATTTATTTGTTCTCACAGTCATAACGGAACGGCCCTCCGATGAAAACCAAAACTATGATGTGGCCCGCGACAAAAATGCATTTGACACCCTTTGGTACAGATACTGGAACCAATTAGCTGACAACAATAACGTCTCCTGTAAGTAGCCTGAGGGGAATGTACAAGCTGCATTTAAATAAACAGTGTCTTCATGCCAACTTTGGTTTTCACTTGAAAACACCAGGCAAGTCAAATAAAGTTGTTATACGCATAATTTAACTTTTGCACTAAAGTAAGTGTATACATACACATTCATATATATTATCACTTTGTCATGTGCAATCAGATACATTCGCCCCCCCCATCCCCCCACACCTAAATCCGCATTCATTCTCACATCGTTTCAGAAACACACTGTACTTCCCTTGAAGACCCTGTTCATATGAAACTAATGCACTTTTGAAAGGAGACTCAACATCTGGATGGTCCATTTTCAAAATGTCCTTTAAAAACCTGATCGAGAAGGACTTTTTGGCAAATCCAACTCCTCGCTTTCTTCTCTGCTGATGGACGGAAACAAAGGTCTACGTTTAAGATGCTTCTTTAGTTTGAGGTTATTTCTCACACGTTTTGTTGTGTAGGTAGCTGAAGAGCGCCTCCAGTCCTTTGGTGGAACACCACAGCTGCTTTAGCATCTGACACTCTTTCTCATTTACTTCCTCCAGGCAATGTAGTAGGATGCTCCTAACCAGGCATTTGGATTCTTCTAGAACCTATTATGCAAAGACAGGAGCTTTGTTAGGTTTATTTCAAGAGGACAAAGACATTGTGACCGTGCGTCACACACCACAGCATTGCACGACGCCATCTCCTTCACACGAAGCATCACTTCCTGATTAAATGTGGTTGGCCAGAACACCTGCGACACCAGACCTCGATTGCACGCTTCTTGCGCTGTCAGCTTTCGACCACAGAACAGCATCTCATTGGCCTGCCATTTGGACAAGAAAAGAAGTCATATTTGAGGGAGTCTAAACATGAACTGGACTCGGACTATTCGGATTTGCTTGCACTCACCAAAGCCACACCAAGGATTTGGGGGAAAGTGTAAGAGGAACAGCCGGAGGGGGTGAGGTGGAGGGCCGCACAAGGAGTCTGGAACCAGGCTCTCTCACTGGCCCACACCACATCACAAAGAGGCAGGATAGAAGCCCCCAGGCCCAGGGCGGGCCCATTGATTGCCACCACGATGGGCTTTTTGAAGCGTATGAACGCCAACACAAAGTCCCTGGATGAGGTGAAGGGCAGTAAACCTTGAGGACACGTTTACCCAACAATGGAAATCTTAATTTAGCCATCTAGATTCCTACCCTCACCAATTGTGACAACCCTTGAGCAATGACTGAAAGGATAAGGTCGAGAATACAACTAGCAGGAACTAGTTTCTTCCGCAAGGTGTCTTGTGCTGACCCTCAAATAGAGGGTGAAGAGCACAGTCATCCGGGAGAGACTCACGGTAGAGCTGGTGGTACTCCTCCTTATCAAGAGGAGCTAGCTGAGGTGGCTCTGGTAGCTATTGAGGCTGCCTCTCTTTTGCCTCCCTGGAGACAGTACTCTGCTTCACTGAAGGTGCGTATGAGAACACACAGGTTCACGTTACTGCCGGTCTTCAAAGCAGATTTAACTCGCCAAGTCCAAAATCAAGTCCACAGCTGCAGTCCATTCATTTAAAATTTTGTACCTTCATGAAAGCCAAATCCGGAAAAGATCAAACTTTAAGAACATTTTCAAGACTGGACTAACAGTCAAACACAGGATCCAATTAGTATAAGACCAACATCAGAGATTGAAAATTTGTTTCTCTTTCTGTGTCTGCCCTTCTCAAACCGAATCAGGCTGCTAATTTAACTGACTAACTCACCACTCTGTTTTGTCATATACATTTGTAAATAGACTCTCACAGCAGTGCCCCACCAGAGACGCTGCTCACCGCACGTCAGTGTTTGGAAACAACAAAGGTTGGTTTTTAGACCTATAAATTTCCAAATGTGCCAAATGTAATGACTTTCTCAGGGCAGCGAATCGAGAATAAAATGACCTGGATGAATGAGCATATTCACAAGCGTATGGCGTGACGTCATTCTCGACTCTTCTTGGTGACAAGAATGCAAACAGGAAGAAGCTTTGCTCTTTGGAACAAGTAAGACGTGATAAAACAGCAGTCAGAAAATCAAAGGCAACTTTAATAATTACCGGGAAAATCTAGCAGACTACAATAAACACTGCAGAAAAATCACAACTCAAGTACATTGTCCACGTTTGTGTGGTGAACAGAAGACATGCTGCTATCAGACGTCAATGCTGGTGCTAATAGCAGACACGCTAAACCAAGGATGAGTCAATGAAGGGTCTAATCTTTTTTTGTCACCCGCAGACTACCTCTGGCTGGAGGCCTCGGACTAGATTTTTTCATTTATTTTTTAGCCCTATCAGAGTTTGTTTG